TTGGCTGATATTGTGCACACACAGTCTCTTAACCAGGCAGGGTTTTCCCCCTTCTTGGAGAATTAACACTAAATGATCTGTAAATTCCTACAACGGTCCTGCCATTTATGGGGAGAAGGTTTGCTCTGAACAGTTCACGCATGGCTTGGAATGTGGTCTCATGAGACCGAGGGCTGCCCATATCCCCAGCACAAGAATGGTTAAAAGGCCCCTCTCATGCCTTAGGATGTGGACTTTCTGCATGGAAAGACTGGCATTGATGTCACATGTGACCGTGCCAGGGTCCCAGCACTGAGGTTGGTGCATGGGTGTAAGTGGTAGAGCTAGCTGCTGGCACATCTCTCCCCTGCCTTGGCATTATTTTGACTAACTAGTGTATTTAAAAATAAAATACGTTGGTGCTTGTCCAGAACACAAACAATTGGTCAAGTTATAAAATGTGATACAGCACAACTAAGATTGCTACTCAGCCCTTTTTCTATGGGGTTGATTCTGCTTCTATGGAAAAAACTCCTATTGCCTTCCATGGGGCAAGACTGGTCTGTGAGGGCACGTCTACACAGCAGGGCCAAACTCAAAATAACCTATGCAACTTGAGCTACGCTAATTGCGTAGCTTCTATTCAGCAGTTATTTTGAAATAGTGCACTCTTCCCCCAACTTCCCTTACTCCTCATACAATGAGGGTTACAGGAGTCAGAGTAAGAAGCCCATTATTTCAAATTGATTTTGAAATAATGGGCTTGCTGTGTAGACATGCAGTATGTTATTTTGGAATAACTAATGTTATTCCAAAATAATACAGCTGTGTAGCCTAAGTGATTTTTATCCAGTCCAGAAGGGTCCTGCAGAGAATCCATACTGAATACCTCACTTCCATTCATTGAAAAGGAAATGGGGCAAGAATCTGATCCTAAATCTATTGATGTCATTCCAGGAGCGTTTTGTATTGACTGTTAGGCTCTGCATGGGACTTTGGATTCCTAAATGCTGTACTCAAAGAGCTGAAGGGAAGAATCTCCACATATTTCTCTGGCCCATGTATTGCTTTGGTTACAGGAAAAATTAAGTCCTAAAATGTACCTGTTTCCCAGGTATGGAAGGTTATTTGTATGTTGGGTGAATAAGCCCGTCTGCACTGAAATTGGGAACTGTTAGCAGGAAAGTAGCAGACGGATCCTCAGCCCCAGATCAGAGTGTAGGATTGGGGGCATGGTTTCAAATCTTAGCGTGGCCTGGGCTTTGTTATTAAAACTCCTATTACTGACGCCTGTGCTAGTTTTGAACACTTAGGGATACATTATGGGAAAGTGTAGAAAGCTGTTGGAATGCCATGTGCATTTGGTGTTTTAAAAACAGTCATTTGCTGGCTACCGGAAAGGCTGTTAGGGACCTGGACTGTATTGAATATAGATTGTCGAGGTGCCCCAAACATGCATGTTAATGACTCTTACACAGTCATCTCCAGGTAGATGTAATAGGGGACTGACTAGGCCCATGTTGAGTAATACCCAAGTTAACTTGTTTCAGTTACTTTGTTTAACTTTCCAATATATCGGAAGGCTGTAGTCTGTATTTGGACTAATCCCTGTCAAATTCCAGTTTAAAAATGGTTTTCTGAGGTCTTTTTTTGGAAGGGAGGGTCTCTTAACCAAATAAAACATCTGGAAACATTTGTGTTTCTAAAACTTGACAGTGGCGGAAAGAGCATCTCTGTTTTGGGTGTACTTCTACACCTGCATTCCAAGCATTAGGTTTGAGAGAATGTACAGTTTCTGTAAATACCTGAAAACGAACTCAAAACTGCTGACACGCTCTTAATAAAATCAAAACCCATTAGTTTTTATCACTCCTGATGCATAGTGGTCTTATGATCATTCTTTTTATTTTGTCTTATTAGATAGTGATGTCAGAAATCTGAGTCACAAAAACCCTTATAGAGTATCCTTGAAAAGACTTGCTCTCTGCATGTCACCCTGAAACAAAATGTTCAGTCCTCGGCTCCTCAGAATTCCATCAGTCTCCTGCTTTTGGGTTGGAGCATTGATGGTCAATGATAGCAGCACATAATATTACTGGAAAACTTGTAGTGGTTGCTGATTGTCACACTGTCTTGACTTGTTAAACCTCCCTCAGCAAACTGGGCAGTGGGGTTCTCGCAGGAATAGCCCTGATCCAGAGCTCCACAGGACATGAGCTCTTACGACTGCCAAGCATCTGAGGATAGGTCTGCATTGCAAGCACTAAGCAACGCAACTGCCGCTGTAATGTAGACACTACCCCACACCCAGAAGCTAGTTGGTGGAAGAATTCTTCCACCGACTTAGCTGCCTCTTCAGTGGGGGTTAGGTTGACCTATCTGCGTTGCACAGAGGGTGAATTTTTTTCACAGCCCTGAGCAATGTAGTTAAACAGCTTGGTTTTAGGTGTAGACCAGGCAGAAGTGCTTAGGGTGCAAGATCCCTTAATTTTGAGTGTCTGTTTTTAGTGCAGCATTAGAAGAAGATTGCTGCTTGGAAAATAGTCATTCTGGACTTGCTAGACCAGAGGGGCACCTCTGAATTCTACCCTCTGTACAGCCGCGTGAGTGAATTGGGCCCAAACAGCTTCTGTTGAGAACTCTCATGCGTTTTCTTGCATCTAAAATAATACACTCCAGCCATGTTAAGGTCATTTGGGGCCCCAGAGGTGCTAGAGCGTGGGGGGCCCCTTCTGGACGCACCTGCCCTTGAAGTGGCAATAGTGATCCCCATCACTTCCCCCAAGTCCTCCCCCCCTCCAAAAAAGCTGGGGGCAACACCATGGATCTCCTTCCAAGAGCTCCTGCAGGCCCGTCCCCCCCCAAAGGGTGGCAGTGGAGAACGCCGTTACTTACTTGTGTATGGCCAGAGGACCGAGCCCACTGCATTCTTCCCATGTCACAAATACCGTCCTCCGATGGTGCAGCCCTGCACAGCCTGAGGTCTTGGGAGGGGACAGCAGCACAATTTTGAACTTCTCTTTGTAACCACCAGGACCAGAAATCTACTTTTGATGGAAGCTGAAATTCTGATGTAATCACAAGATCCAGTGGGGTGGGAACCTAGGCAAGGGCTTGTTCCTGTCCCTAAATCCAGATCAGCCAATGCTTCCATTTTCCCAGAGTGTCCTTGTCATACTGTAGCTTTTCAGTGTCCTGGCCTCTCGCTGATGGAAAAGTTCACCTGGAGAATTGAAGGTTACGTTTCTTTCCAGTGGTTATCCTTTCAGAGCTAATAAGTAATACTTCCTCTCACTTTTAACACCATTCAGAAATGGAGTGAAGGACCATGACAATGGGATATTTTCTAAACCCATTTCCAAAGCTCATGAGTATTGGGGAATTTATAAAACAGATGGTGCTTAGCGAGAGGATGAAGTAGTATTAGTTTCTCACTGTCCTTGGTACAAAAAGATGTTTGAGAAACAATGAACAAGGTGAAAATGTAATTAGCGTATGAATTGGGTGAAGTCCTTTTGATCAGCAGGGACTTTGAAGCAGCTTGTGTAGCAATGCCCTAAGCATTCTTAAACTTATCAGAATCAAACCATGCTGTTGTAGCTTCTTAAGTGAATACAAATTTTACTGGGAAAGTAGCATAATTTCTTTATTTGTTGTCGCACCAAAAATACAGTAGCCTAATACATGGAGTTTGATCATGGGTAACTCCCCCCAGCTAACATCTACCACTGACAGTAGTGCACTTAAGCTTTGTATAGTAAGTGGTTCTAAATAGTATTGCAGATCTTGGAGATGGCAGGACATTGTAAAAATTGGTCCCCTGCTCATGAAATACTGGATTTAAGGAATTAACTCAGCAAAAGTAGAAAATCCAGCTGTCCAGTTATAGCTTCTTGGGAGTGAATTCTCCTCTTCCTTGGCCTGAAATCCCACAATAACGTTGTACTTCTCTTCAGTGGTGTGTATAGCCTGATTGCTGCCTGGATACAAAGTGAAAAAAGCCAAGAGCCCAGGGGCCTGCTAAATACTCCAGAGCAGTGTTTCTGAAAGTGCTCCGCGAAATCACATTCAGAAACACGTTAACTGGCCGCCCCGGTTTGTTTAGTTACCGGTGCTGCGGCCATGGAGCCTCGCAGCTCCCATTGGCTCGGTTTCGTCCTTTGCAGCCCAGGGGAGCCACGGGAGCTGCGGCGTGGGCCAGGACACTGCTTCCCGCGGCCCCCCTTGGCTGCAAAGGATGAAACGGAGCCAACAGGAGCCGCGAGGCTCTGTGGCCGTGGCACTGGTACATAAACAAACCAGAATGGCCAGTGGAGCTGTGAGGCTCCATGGCCACAGCACCGGTAACTAAACAAACCGGGGCTGCCGGTTAGCGTGTTTCTGAATGTGATTTTGCGGCACACTTTCAGAAACGCTGCTCTATAGCCTGTTAGTCCACTGAAAAGTGTTTCCTTCTGGTGGGATTTACGTGTTTAACTCAGTAATGGGCAACCTAGGCTAGCGAGTGGGCTGCAGGAGTGGCCCTTCATCTCCGTGGCCGCAAGATTGTTGTGACCGAGACAGTCTCCCAGGATAGGGGGTTTTGCTGCATGCGCTTGCGTACTTAGAACTCGCAGGAGGTGTCCACTGAACCATGGCAGCGCTTTGAGTGGCTGCAGAGGAAGCCCACAGTGTGCAGTCAGCACACACCTCTGCTTCACGTGTGTTTCGCTTCAGTAAAGCCAGTAGTAAAAAAACCTAGGCAGACAGAAACCAGTGGAATCTGGCAACCCTGCGCACGGGCAACAGTGAACAAAATGTCTGGGCCACGCATAGACCCTCAATGGGCCACAGGCTGCCCACGCCTGGCTTAATTCCTTGCATTGACCTGAGGCTAGCTGTTGACTTGGAGTGGTAAGAACCTGCTTTCCTGTATCCAGGAAGCCTGGCTGAGGGAGCTGGTTATGCTGAGGGGTTTGCAATGAAAAGGTTAACGTGTCCCATTTTAATTCTTGCCTTGTTGGTTTTTGTCTGTTTTTAGGCTACGGAGAGCTAAATGGTAATGCCGGAGAAAGGGAAGTATCCTTAAAGGGCCTGTGTGCTGACGAAACGACCAGCTCCTCTTCCAGGGTACCAAATGGCAGCCAGCAACTTGTAGACGCTAATGTAAACCCAAAGCAGACTGTTAAGGCCAGCACCTTTGGGAAAGCTGGAATCAAACCCAAGACCTTCATTCAGAAAAACAGTATGGACAGAAAGAATGACAAATTTTATGAGAATAAACTTAGAGAAAATCTGTCCTCAGACAAGCCAGAAGCAGTATCTATTCCAAATGGTGTTGTAACAAACAGTTCTGGTTATATCACTAATGGCTACGTCGGCAAAGGGGTCGATAACGATGGGAGTGGGTCTGAGAGTGGCTATACCACACCTAAGAAACGGAAAGGCAGGCGGAACAGTGCCAAGGGTTGTGAGAACTTGAATCTGGTGCAGGACAAAATAATGCAACAAGAGGTCAATACCCCATCTCTAAAACAGGAGCTTGAGAGTTTGAAGGCTGAGTATGGTGAACAAAAGGGAAACCAAGTGGACAATACGAAGCCCATTTGGAAATACGAAGCTGGAGTTGGAGGAGCAGGACGGGGAAAAACTGGGCTTGGGGAGGTACAGCGAAAAAACTCCGACGCCAAACCTGGGGTTAGTAGCAAAAAGTTTGATGACCGGCCTAAGGGGAAGCATGCGTCAGCGGCTGCATCAAAAGAGGACTCATGGACCCTGTTTAAACCACCCCCCGTTTTTCCAGTGGACAACAGCAGTGCTAAAATCGTTCCTAAAATAAGTTATGCAAGCAAAGTGAAAGAAAACCTCAACAAAGCAGCTCCAAACCCGTCTCCGTCTTCATCGTCTTTGTCATCTACTGGAGAAACTCAGCCCCAAACACCGAATCGATTGTCTCAAGTCCCCATGTCTGCTATGAAGTCTGTTACTTCTGCTAGTTTTTCAAATGGGCCCATTTTAGCAGGGACTGATGGGAATGTATATTCTCCAGGGACCCAGCCACTGCTTGCTGCTGCTGCTAGTACTTTAACCTCAACCTCGTTGGAGTCAGTACACCAGGACCTAAGTACGACTGCAACAGCTGTTGAACAAAAGAAGTCTAGCCTTTTCATTTACCCTTCCAATATGCAAGCTGTGCTTTTGGGGGCCACGCAGGTCGAGCTGCCATTGCAGGCTAGTCAGCAGAACCTGGGGGATATCTTCCAGAACCAGTGGGGTTTATCGTTTATAAATGAACCCAGTGCTGGGCCTGACGCTGTCCTTGGGAAATCAACGGAAACTCAAGTCATGGAAGTGACATTTCAAGGGGAATATCCTGCCACTTTGGTTTCACAGGGTGCTGAAATCATTCCCTCGGGCACTGAACAGCCGGTCTTTCCTAAGGCGTACGAGCTGGAAAAACGGACTAGCCCTCCACTACTTAGTGGAATTATAAAGCCTGGGGTTGCTAGTGAGACTGGAGTCTTGTCTTTGGAGCCGCATCACACAGGTCACCTGCAAATGGCAGACCCCAGTAGCCAAGGTGCTTTAGTGTTCCTCTCAAAGGACTACGAACTAGAGAATCCCTTGGCCTCTCCTACGAACAATTTGTTAGCCTCCGCCAAAGATCAGAGGTACCAGAGAGGCCTAGAAAGGAAAGATAGCTGGGGTTCTTTTGACCTGCAGGCTGCTATTCTATATCACACTAAAGGTAATGGTCCAAGCTGTTTCCTAACGGAGCTCTCTCTTAATTGGTTTGGGAAAATTCAACCTTGTAACAGTTGCATGCCTTAATCTTAAGAAGGGCCTTCTTGCTCCTAGTCCTTGGCCATAGCATGTACAAATTGTGAGGGTTTTAAAATGCTCTAGCAGCTTGATTCGTTCAGGCTGTGGTAAAGGTGTGCATTTCTCCATTGATGTGGCTGGGGAGAGGCAATAGTTAGTTGCTCTCTTTTGGTGCCTGTTTTGTGTGTGTGTGTGTGTGTGTTTTGTTTTGTTTTGTTTTGTTTTGTTTTGTTTTTTAAAACTCACGCACGGTAAGTAGGTGTTCCGAGACTTCCCAATGGTAAGGCGGTGAAGCCTCAGCCTGTGGGTCAGCTGGTCTGTTCTTGTCTTCCACCTGCCTGTCCCAGACAACGCTTCAGGGGTTGCTCTCTTAAAAAGCAAGAGGGGGATGTGGCATGGCTATTTACAAGGCAGTGCCATAGAACTGGCTGAAATTGTCCCTTGTTCCTCTTTGGCTCAGAAGTTCTCTTGCTTCTTGACAGCTCTGCAGAGGCGTTTGCGAGGCACTCCTTTTGGCTTGCTGTTGCTTATCTGCCTTTCCCAAGGATGTGGGCAGGGACCTTTTAGTTTTTGCCAAATCTCCTGCCCCCCTCCAAGCCCCCCCGACTGCCCTTCTAGAAGAAAATAAATTAAAAAAGCCACTCCAGGCTGCCTTAAATGCAGTACTCCTTTCAGGAGAGAGCTGGGTGTTAGCTTCTCAGAAGTGGGGGACAGGATTTCTTTAATGGCCTAACATGGAATTTTTACATCCCTTTGAGGGGGGAAAAACGCCTCAGCAGCCCAACAGTAGCGTTTAATTTCAGAAAGAGGAACTACACACAAATCAGGAGGTTAGTTAAACAGAAATTAAAGTACAGTGACAAAAGTAAAATCTCTGCAAGCTGCATGGAACTTTCAAAGACAATTAGTTGGCAGCCAGCTCCTTGGGAGCAGAGCCAGCAGCTGGCGTGTAACCATAATGGAAACTTAACCGTTTAAATGGTTACACCCGTACAGCCCTAATCCTAGGTTTTCACACTGTAATTTCTGAATCTTTTATGCTTGAATGTTCTTGTGGGGAATAACAACAGTATTTGCCAATTTATTTCTATCTACACCTTCAGGATTCCTTTAGTCATGAAGCAGAGCTTTAGAAATTCTTGTTCCCTGCACCAGTTGTAGCTTGAATCTCCACCAGCTTTTCAGAGAAAGCCAGGGACCCTGGGAAGCTTGGGGAAGTGAGTGTGTTAATTTTTTTAAAGGAACTTAGTAGCCATGGTGTTACTACTATTCGTTAGCTTTCTCCCTTTGGTCAGCCCGGCAGGACAGTCGATGGCAGCAGGAGTATCTCCAGCCAAGCTGATGAACGCTCCCCTCCCACGTTCTTCGGAGTGAATGTCCATTCAGCCAGGCTTGGAAGTTAATGTTTTGAAAACAGGCTGGAGCTAATCATTGTCAGTGGCAGAGACAAACAATGGGAAGCAAAGCACTTCAGTACTAATTATGCTGGCCTTTGCTTTGCCGACCGCCCCCTCCACCCACCCCGGACACATGGTCTTTCGTTTTCGGCCCATCCAGAGCAGTCACTCCAGTCACATGACCACTCTGGGATGAGTTTGAGGCGAGCTGCAGTTCTCTGCCCCATGTCCTTCCCATGTGCCACCTTGTTTTCTCAGCTATCGTCTCCTGTACCAATTTTGAGACGGCATCTTGGCTTCAGCCTAGAAGATAATGGGTGGCTGGTTCTTGTAATCACTGCCATACAAATCCTGTGACGGGATTGCTGGGAAGAACCCGAGCTGGCCTGCTCGTCAGTACTCATCAGATGCCTTTCCTGGTTTTGGGGGGTGGAAACCCAAATCCACATTTGAGTACAGGAGACCGTGGTGAGTTGTGGGATCGCTGCCCGCAGTTCTGCGCATTTGTCCTGGCCGCGGAGGGAAACAGCAAGGGTGGGAGCACTGAAGAATGTACCTAGCCCCCATAGTGAGTTTCCCGTGGTCCTGGGAGTTCCCCACAGCTCCCAGTATTTGTGAATTTTGCCACTTGTGGCTGTGGGAACGCGTCCACGGCAAATGGCCAAGTTTCCTGGAGGGGTTCCCATTTTTCTGGTTCCTGTACAGTGGCGTTTGTTCTGAAAGGATTCTAGCAGGATTCAGTGCGTACTTTCTGACGGGGCATTTTCTGTGTCTGTGGTGTGACACTCACACACTGCTCACCTTCGCAGACAGCTGGTACGGCCATCCCTCCGGCAGAGCCCGACTGAAATTGGGGAGCAGCTCTCTGGTGCAAGGGTCTGTCTGCTCCAGTTCGGCTAGGGCCGTAGTCTCTGATCTTGTAAGGCAAGATCTAAGCACCATTTTCTGCCCCTGTTCTGCCAGCCTACGGTCAGGCCATAGCACGGAAACAAACCGCTCCCATAAAATGTCTAGCAAGGACATGTAGAGAGTAAGTAGAGTGCAAAATAACAGGGTACCCTGCGCCCCAGTTCTGGTCCGGGTTGTCTGGTGCAGTTTCTTGGTGCCCAGATAAATACCCGCCTAGTTCCCAGTAAGCAAGTGACCCTGCATTCCATGCACTCCCAAAGGCGGGGAGCCGAGAGCGTGGCTTGCAGCAAGAGGGTGTCCTTTGGGGAGATGGCGGCCAGTGTGGATTTCCTGGAGAGAGAGGGTTGCTTTCTCCTCAAGCCAATTATCAGTCCGGAAAAAGAGGTGTTGATGGCTTGCTTCTCAGTCTCTCCTCCTGCTTACTCTGGTACGCCTCCGAGCTGAGTCCTCGCAGCCTGAAACATGGGGTGGCTCTTACGGATGCAGAATCCCGATTAGCTAAACGTTAGGTTGCCCTAACATTTAACCAGTTAGCAGGCTAAAGCAGGAGCCAGACTGGGCACTGTTCCAGCCTGCAGCCTGTGGAACTCCCACCCTGAGCTCCATCCTGGGGCTGGCCTAGCCAGCTCTCAGCCCCTTTTCGTGGTGGGCCCAGGCCCCCTGTGTATTGGGGCTGTTCCAGACGAGAGCAGCCCCTGTCTGGCAGGCCCCCTGCTCCAGCCCCTACTGCAGGGGTGGCCAACCCATTAAACGAAGAGAGCATAAACAGTGGTGGAAAAAATGCAAAGAGCCACACCAAAGTTGTTGAGCAAAAAAAAAAAAAAGTTCCTCACCAGCCAGAGTTGTTGAGCCAAAAAAAGGACGCTGCCCCTTTAAAAACTGCGGGCAGGCTTTTTGCCCACGTCAGGCTCCCATTGGCCACTGCCATCTTGCCGCCACCATTTTGCTGTGCCAGGTGGCTCCCCCGCACCCAGCGAGCACAGGGGGGCAGGGCCAGGGGCTGACTGTAGGGGCGCGTGGGGCGGCTTCACAAGCCACGGGGGAGGCTTCCGGAGCCGAACTTTCAGGGGTGAAGGGCTCATGAGCCACAGGTTGGCCACCCCGCCCTACTGATTAACCAGGACCGGTGAGCTTACCGATTACCCATTGGGGAAGTGAAAGGGTCTGTTGAGCTAACTTGCTGTACACGTGTGTGTCGTCCGTGAGTTGGAACGTGCTTTACAAGATGTGATTAACACTCTGCTTCCTATTGAAAGCTGCTGTCCTTTCCCTGGAGAGAGAAACTGAGGCACACAGCAGTAAAACCACACAGGCACCTGGGACTAGTGCTTGAATCCTAGTCCTGGCGTGCATTGGCTCTCTGGCCAAGGGCCACTTTGCGGCCCTGCTGGCTAGCTGGGTGTGCTCATTCATACATCCCAAGCGTGTGTGTGTCCTCCCCACATTGCTAGGTGCCTGGCTGTTGGGAACTGGCACCCTGCTTGTTGCTTTTTGGATGCTTTGAAAGTTAGTTTCACTAAAGTCTTCCTCTCTGCTTTGCCTCCGTCGTTCCATTGGTTGTATTGTGATAATCTAGTCTGACCTGCATAACACTGGTCCTAGAATTGCCATTAGTCACTTCTGTAACAAACCCATCCGTTCGGGAGTCTTTGCTGACAGCGCCCGCCTCTCCAGTCTCTAGTGCAGTACTGGGAAAGGAATGAGCTAGGTACTAAATGAGATCTTACAAGCAAGCTAGTGGGCCTGGTTGCTGCATGGCCGCAGCGTGAACGGTCGTTTTTGGATGGGAGTCCAGAAAAACCCCAGTCCTGCAGAAGATGGCATTGACTAAGCAGAGGGCTTCCCTTTCTGTAGGTCAGCACTGAGCCAGGCAGGGCAATGCATTAGGGGCTACTAAGGTGTCATGTCTCTATTGAGCTAAAACCATGGTCTTCAAAGCAATTTTTGGTAGTGCTTTGTTTTGTGTTTTTAAATAAGAGTAAGGGGCAGGGTTTTTTTATGATGATACGGCCCGGTATGGCATGCCATCACCTATTTTTCCCAGCACACAGTAAATGAATGGGATTTCTCCTGCATGTACCGGCACCTGTTTTCCTGGTGCTGCTCATCTCGTGACAGAAGCTTGCTTGGGAGGCAAGGCATTTTTCCCCCCCTCCAGCTCCTAGTGCGGCGTTTTGGCTCTTAAAGGGGCTGTGACCGCAACTTGGCTCCCCCCCCTTCCCCCAACAAGTTTTCTTTCTTTCTTTTTTCTTTCTTCTCAATAAGTTTGAGCCTGGAGTACTGGCACCTTTTTTCTTACAAAAAAAAGCACTGGTAAGGGGTATTTGTCCGAGCTGTACTCATGTGATATGCTTACATTTTTTAAAAGCGAATGTATTTCATACCCTGCCACGCTTTGTAGCCTGTGGGTTTAAAACAGCTGACATGTTCTGGTTCAGAGGTGGCTGCATTTCAGGGAGTCCTCCCTGTGACGTGCTTCTTGGGGAAAGAGCGCTTCTGTAGTAAGAACATTGTTAGCTAAAAGAAGGGTGGTTTAGGTCTCATTACAGAGTAGCACAGACCTCAGAGGAGATGGGGAGAGACAATTAAAGTTATATCTACTGTTGCTTTCTCCCCCTGGGTTCCTCCCAGTACTCCTGCTTGGTTTCTTTTCACTGTTTCCCTAGGAGGGGGTGAAGCACTGGAATGGGTTCCCTAGGGAGGGGGGTGGAATCTCCATCCCTAGGGGTCCGTAAGGCTGACTGGACACAGCCCTGGCTGGGATGGTTGAGTTGGGTGGGTCCTGCTTTGGGCAGGGGCTGGACTCGATGCCTCCTGAGGGCTCTGCCCCCCTGGGGTTCTGTGGTTATTTTTGGCTTCTCGGCTGCACTCCGTGAAGAAACAAGAGTGGCCTGGGAAATAGGGCAAAGCGGCGTGGGCCAGCCTGTAGTGGCTTTCACTGGAACGGTGAACTGGGTCAGAAATAGCAGAGCTTTGAATTCAGCAGGTTTGTCTTTTTAGGCTCTGAAAAAAGAGAACCTAGTTTCCCTTCTGTTTGCTGGAAGAGGTGAGGTCTCGTTTGACACTTTTTATGTGTTTTTGAGTCCTGAATGATGATGTGGGTTGTTGGGTTGGTTTTTTCCCTCTCTCCCTCCCTCTTTTTGCCGTTTCCCTGGTGATCAGGATCTGTGGCACAGAGTTACCAAAGATCCACACGCACTTCTAGGCTTTTGCATGGTTTCCTGTAGAACACCAGCATGTGGGATTAATCCCTTTGACCAGCAAGTGGGAACCAGCAAAGCCTCCCTCTGTCTAGCAGCCTGTTTGGCTTGGGCAGGAGATTTACAGTTGAAATAGTAAATTGAAATAAATGTCTAGCCGAAGGCACTTCTGAAATACATGACTTGTTGGCACTGGCAGGCTCTCTGGAGGGAGCGATTTGGTGGACATTAAGTGTCTGTCTTTCTACTGATCCTGTCCAGGCTTCTGTTCCCTGCAAGGTTAAGCTCCTCTTGTATGGTGGGAGCCATATGCGTGGGGCATAGGACCCCCTTGAAATCCATCAGGCCACATGCGGGCATCTCCATGCAGATCCAAGTGCAGGATTGAGGCCTGAGAGAACAGGGTGTCCAATTTCCTAGTTCTACGAAGTAGGAATTCCGGACTCTTGAGCGTGTGACTGGAATGCCCGGTCCAGACATCTCACCTGCCCAAGCTGAGCCTGGTCCCGTGGAGTCTGAGCTTTATAGAGCAAGAGAGCCCTGGGTTTGGGAGACCTCGGGGCAGAGTGCTCACTCAGTCTCCTCCGCCCTCTCTTGGAAGGGTTTGCTAGCGCAATCCTTCTGGGTTTGCAGGTCTCTGGAGAGAACATGCACCACTTCGCTGCTGTTTCTGCAAAGCTGGGTCTCTTCCCCCTGCCTCCCCCTCCTTGCGCGCTGCCCCACTGCTTGAGGCTTTGGAGTCTTTGAGTTGAGGTCTTGCAGCAAAACTGTGCATCTTTGTTCAGTGTCTGTGGGGGGGGGGGACACAAGACTCCTCCACTCCAGGTCAGCTGAGGAAGTGGGCTGTGCCCACCAAAGCCCATGATACTGTAGCTACTTTTGAGAGTCTCTAAGGTGCCACAGGCCTACACGTTGCTTTTAGTTAGACTCTGAGACTTTTTCAGGAACGAGTTATTCAATTCCTGGTTAAATTCTCCTTTGTATTCCTAGGGGAAACAGAGGGTGGAAGTAAGGGTCGTCTTGAAGCCGTGTCACTGCTCTGAATTCTGCGGGGAGCGGGCAGAAGGTTTAGCTCGTATTCTTGTGTTTGAAAGAAGAGGGAGGCTGGGAACTTCTTAAAATTCCAGACCCCAGAAGCTTGGAGGATAGCAGTGTGTAAAACCAGACTCCTCCCCACAGAGAGCGTCCGCCCGGAGCTGGAAGTTACATAGTAGATGCCGATTTAGAATCGTAGGCTAATCGTTCCAGCTTTCCTCGTTCTCTGTCCTTTGCCGCACCCTCCCCCAGCCCCGGTCGTTGGCCTGTTGAATTGGAAAGGGGTTTTCTGCAGGGCAGTTTGATATGAAGGGCGAATGAGCAAGGCACCAAGATTTGTCTGGTCGGTGTGAAAATAATCCAGGGTCTAGCTGCAGTGCTTAGAAATAGTTACGGATTATTATAACCATATGTAATCCCAGAACAGGAAGGGGCCTCGTGAGGTCATTGAGTCCAGGCCCCTGCCCTCACGGCAGGACAGAGCCCCATCTAGATCATCCCTGATAGGTGCCTTGTCTAACCTGCTCTTAAAATCCAGAGCCATGGGGAGGACTTGGACAGGTTGAGGACAACAAAAGCTTATTGAGCAAGGGTTCCAAGGTAGATGGAAGTGTTACCCTGCTTCTCTGCAGCAGCTGGCTCAAGAGAAACGTATCTTTCCATCAATCAGCGTTTCAGCGGGTAAGTAAAATACCCAGGTAGTACAGGGTGACTGCATTTCAGCGTTGCGGATCAGTCCGAGCGGAGGAACGTGTGTTTGTTCTTTAGCATTTAAACCAGTTCCGTATCAGAATAGATAGTTCCAGGTTTAGGGCAGTCTCTCAGACTGATGTGGTGAGCTCATCAATATGTTGATTGCTCACAATTTGCCAGGCTGTCGGCTTTGATAACCGTTGCTTCAAGACAGCCAGGAATTACAGGACACTTAACTCCAGATGCCCTCTTCCCTTCTTTGTCCTTTTTGGTCAGTCTAAAGGTTTCTGTGCCCTGAAAAGTGACATCGGTAAAGCAGTGTCACCTGGGGGTGTGAAAAATCCACAACCCTGAGAAACCACGGTAAACCACCAAAACCCCTTGTGTAGACAATGCTAGGCCGATGGGAGAGTTCTTCCGTCAACTGAACTTTCACCTTTTGAGCGGGTGAATTACCGCCAGTGACAGGAGAACCACTCTGGAGGTAGTGTAAACTAGGCTTTAGGTCATCTGTCAACATTTTGCCTTTCTCATACTGATACAGGTGTAAATCTTCCAGTATTTTCCATGCTCTGATGTAGTCTGGCGTTTGCGCTCCTGGTCCTGATACAGTGAGAACCAAATGAAATCACAGAAGCAAAGAACTTTTCCTGTGGGGTGTGTTTTGGCGGTGGTTTAAGGGGTTTGAACGCCTCCTCTTTTTGTTCTAACGTCTCTCGGCATTGTATCACTACGGTACTTGATAGTAACTTGTTCATTGCCAAGAGGGCTTGTGCTGGCCAGTTGTCTTTTCCTTCCGGTTGGTTAGAAACGGATGTATGCGCCGTGTCATTTTGAAGGGGCAAGTATAATGCTGCTTTGCTCTCCCAACAGCAGCTGCCTCCTAGAAGGCCCAGGTCACTGAGGAGTACCCACAGGCTGTCCGTTCATGTCTTGTAAATACCTTCGGGTTATCTGACGCGTGCTGAGTATTGCTGCTGTTACCCTGACATGAAAGTAACAGGCCTCCTAAAATGTTACATCAGAGCGGCCAGGCTGGGTCAGACCCAAGGCCCATCCAGCCCAGTATCCCTTCTGCCCACAGTGGCCAAGGCCGGGTGTCCCACAGGGAATGAACAGAACCGGGAATCCTCACCTGTCACTCATTCCCAGCCTGACACACAGAGGCCAGGGACCCCAGCCCTGCCCAGCCTGGCTAACAGCTGTTGATGGACCCAACCTCCATGGATCTGTCTAGCTCTTTTTTTAACCCTGTTGAAGTCTTGGCCTTCACAACTAGGGATGTAAGAGTTTAACCCATTAACCAATAAGCATTAACTTATCAATTACCCTTACTGCCTAGATTCTCGGCCACTGCCCACAGCCCGCCGAGCATTACCCGTGTAACGAATTGAAATTCAAACTGTTCTGCAGTTAGTGTTTGGGGTGGTTGGTTTGTTTTAACATCCCTAGTTAAGACCCACATGAATCACTACCTTATATATTTTAAGCCATACAATAAAGACCTGTTAAATGAATAACTTTGTTTCTTTTCAAGAACTGTTATGAGATGTAATTTGGCTTCCTTAAAGAGGTCACATTTTGTGTCGTATCTTCCTGTTGGTGCTCTGCATGTGCATTTGTGTGTGTGTGTGACACATTTAAAAGTGCGTCGCTATATTTTTGTTGGGTTAGGGAAATAGGAAAATGTGTGTTCTTTTAACGAGCATGTGGTTAAATTGGCTCCATGATGCTTTTACAATGTTAAGCAAGGAGGTTGGCGGTTTCTGTGCATACTTTCGTATCTCAGGCCTGGTCAACATAGTTAAGATATCTGAATTTTCTAGTGTGGTTTAGCTATGTGGAAAAAGCCCACCCTGAGTGGCATAGTTACACCAGCCTTACCCCCAGCATAGGCTGCGGTAGGCCCACTGAAGAATTCTTCCCATCGGCCTAGTTTGCACCTTGTGGGGACGTGGGTTTCCTTCACAGAGGGGTGCAGCTGTAGCATTTCAAGAAGTAGACAAACCCTCATTCTTGGATACATTTGCAGAAATGCTTCCAACTGGTTTCATGGTGATCAGTTGCCGGTCTGTGTGTCGTGCCTCAGCAGGTCTGTGGCGTGAAGCAGAAGACACTTTTGCTGGCAGTTTTAATTTGCATGCTAAAACCAGCATTTGGGGCTGCGTGTAGAGGCTGTAATAGTTGCTTCGAAGGGGTATTCTGGTAAAATTTGAGGTGGGTCCCGGTGATTTGTAAGGCTGGGAAATGGCAGATGCTACATCTCGTTTCTGCTACAGAGTTGGCCAGCTGACTTCTGAGGCTGCCAGGCCTCCTCTGGCCAGCTCATTCAGGCCTTGTTCCCCTCTGTTACACCAGTGCAACCTCCTGAACGTCTTTGTTGCTGCCGACAGAAATTGTCTGAGAACTTCCGGGCAAGAGTTGCAGAACGATTCTAAGCTGGGCAAATGAAAGCATGTCCTGTAGCTTGGCTCGCCGTCCCGTAGCACTGCATAACACTAACTTCCTCTCTTTTGTCTTCACAGAAATGGAATCGCTTTGGAATTTGCAAAAGCAAGGTAAGAGTTGCGAAAAAAGGTTCCGAGGAAGGGCTGGCCGAGCAGGAGGGCGGAGGCTGGGCTGCTCCCAGGGACACTAGCGAAGATGTGGGTGTTCAGTCTTAGAGTCAGTCAGGACCATGAAATGTTAAAACCAGGACCCAGGCTGGGGCTAAAGACTCCTGCAATCGCTGATGTCCGCCTAGCCACCCATGTGGCCACTTGGAACCCTCCCATGTGTCCCGGGTTCAGCTGGGGAGAGGAAGTTTCTTTTCACTCGTGGGAAGAAGGCTGAATGGAGACTGTTGTCATGTGGCTGTATTTCTGCCCTGATCTAGTGTTGGGAATGGGCACTGCTCTGTGTGGAGTCAGTGAGGGTCCTGGCTTCATTGCTGGGACGTTGCATGGTTCTTTTGTACAGAGGAAGTAGATCACTGGCATGTCAGAGCCAAGGGGAACAGGCCTTTTCAATTGTGAGAGAAAAGGGAGGTGTGTTTTTACCAATTAGCTAAGTGCTTGGCTGCCCTCAGGGTCTCTAGCCCAGGGGTATTTTCTGCTTCAGGACTGGGCTGCAGGTTGCTCAAAGCGGGATTTGATTTTCTCTCTCCAGATCCCAAAAGGATAATCACTTACGACGAAGCCATGGATTGTCCGGATCAGTGAAGGTAGCGGGACGAGACAGCCTGTTCCGAGCTCGCTGCAGTGGGAGTGCTGTGCACACGGGACGCTCCTTCTGAATCTTCAGTGCAACAGAGGAACCCTAACGAGAATCACAGGATAATATATACAAATTATATAGAGTTATTTAAAAATGGCAACTGAAAATAATTAGACTTCTTAAGGAATCTGAAAATTTATTTCAACAGACTACACACACAATTATTTAATCTCCGGTACTGAATAGGTTTTTTTAGTTTTGTTTCTGTTTAAAGAGTGAATGCAAGTGATTAACGAATACAGACTCCATTCACAAGCCTGGTTCTGAAGTTTCTGCTGTCATCAACATAGGCACCAGTGACCGCTGGAGAGGCATTTCCACCCTGCAAGAGTTCTGTTTCTTCTTCTGTGACCGCAGTGACACACTAATCACAGGGAAACCAGGATGATTCGCCATCCTTCATCTCCCTCCCCCCTCCACCTCCCTTTTGGTTTAGTTTGAGTTACTTTGAACCCTGTGCGAATGCTGGAGAAACGCCTTGAAGTTTGCAGGGTTTCCTTTTTTTCCAGAAAATATAATCTGCATGTCTTGCCAGGAGTAAAACAGCCTACAGGTCCTGAGGAAATGGTCTTAAAACATCGAGGAGGGGGGGAAGATTGTAATTCTGCAGTTCTGGGATACACATTGGTTTTACAGTCAACAAGACTAATACAACTGAAGAGCTGTCACGAGTATCATTTTAAAAGACAACATGCAAAATGAGCAATTGGTTTAGGCATTTAATATGGAAAAAAAAAACCCTGTTCCCACGCTTTTATGCCATTGTATCACTGGGAGCAAAAAATATATATATACGTATATATATATCTATCTATCTATCTCCTGCTTTCAACTGTAGGTGCTTCATATTTGCTCTGTCTGTCTCTCAACACTAAATGTGCTCCCCTCCCCCCGTTTTTCACTGAAAATCTGAAGAGAATTTGTGTTCTGCTAGCTTCCGCCCCTCTTGAATTATTTTTTCTCTTTAGAAACATTTTTTTTAAAAAAGAAAAAAAAAAAAGGAAAAAGGAAAAAAGAAAAAAAATATGGGAATTGTAACCCTTTCCCATTCGGCCTGAAAGCAATGGATGGGGGAATAGTGTCCCGGCCATTGGAAATATTCTTTTATAGTTTCACGCAGTCTGTGTATTTCTGAGCTCTTTTGCTGGTTCTCATTATATCTCTATTAAAATATATTTTATTACAAGAGCAAAATGGGGGGTGTAGGAATGAAAATTAAAAAAAAAAAAATCCAAACTAAAGAACGCTTTCTGGTGATAGCAGAGAAGGCGGAAGAGAGTGCCGGCTCCAGTCATGTGATCCATGCTGTTGCGCTGCTGCTTGTGTGTAGCATGTGTAAAAATGTGTGTGTTTTTTTTATTTTATTTTATTATTTTTTTCAAGGTGCAAAATTCCTGGAGTCCACTGTAAGACCGAGCAGTTAATCATTAATGAAACAAAACGAGTTCTCTGTCCTGCCCCAGTACCACACGTACACGACTCTTAACTATTCTTGGATGCTCACAGATGAGTGCTGGCGAAAATGTCTGGGCATTTAGGAGTTAGCATCTGGTAAAATCAGACTGGATCACATGGGGCATTAGGGGAAGGAAATAACCCCGTTACTTTTGCCTATTCTTTGTGCTTAGATGTATCTACTCTCACAATTAGAGGTATCTAGCATGTGTGGGGCTTTTTAAGTGTTTCATGCTTTTATTAAGGTTGTTCCTGAATGAAGCGCTCAGGTTCATAGTGGGACAAAGAAACTTTAATTTTTCCTGTACCTTTTTAAAGATGGTTAGCTTTCTGCCATGCTTGGTTTTAAAAGTATAACTATGAATTGCCTACTCCATTTTATGTATTCAAACAATAACTTTCTGTATCATCCAGGGTCAGAAACTTGTGGTTGGCCAGTTGCGGAATTGTTCGATTTCCCCTCTAAACTGTATCCCCTTTACTGGTGTTTGTATCTTTCCACTGTACAACATGTTTACAGATGTGCCCGGCATCTAGTCCTCCCGCGTTCCTGTTTTTTAGTTCTCGTGAGTCTCCTGGTGGCTTGCCAAAAGTTGGGATTGTGGTGGGTTCCTCCGGGAAAGAACTGCTGCATTCTTGAGCTTTAAAGCGCTGAACAAACTGGAAGAGCTGACTTAAGAGCGAGGCGAAAAAGTTTGTTTGGTTTTGTTTTTAATGTTTCAGGTGGCTAGCCGAGTGTCTAGTTGGTTTTACAGGCTTTAAAGTTCTGCTCTCTATTTGCCTTGGGTCATCACTTGCCGCCTTAAGGGCTGGATTCCATAGTAACACCCTCCACCCCTCTTTGGCTTGCTCAGGGGTTAATGCTATGCCAGCACCCCTGCCCCCCAAAATCTGCTTTTGGGGATGGTGTGATGCAGGAGCTGAACAGCCGTCACTTTTAAATGGAATCGAACCCGTGGAGTTTAGAGCTGTGGCTTAGTCTTGCTGAATTATTCAGGAAGCTCACCTTGGCCAATCCCATGCATTGTTCAAATAATGAACTACGTTCCCAAAGGAAACCGAATAAAATCACCGTCTCTAAAGGTCTGTTCCCCCTGCTTTGCCCCGCCCATAGGCCCATTGCTATCTGGCGCTTTTCTCTCCATTGTGGTTTTTGAGCATCTCTCGAAATAGATTCCACCTTCTGCCTTCTCAGTTGAGAGCTCGGTCGGTTGTACAAGTGACTTGAAGCAGTTAGGAAATTCTTTTTCTGGGAGCCCCATAGTTTCAGCTTGCAAACACAGGCAGTATTTCCGGGCAATGGGTTGGATTAACTTGATTGCCTAGGGACAGGCAGGACCATGGAATAAACGTCCTTTGTGCTGTTTTGTAACACTTCACCCTCTCTGTGTCTGCAGTCTCTCTCCTTGCGTCCTCACACAGGTCTTTACTGAGCACTTATTAAAAAACAATCTTGAGCGTTAATCTGTTTTCTGATTATTTTTGTGTAAATTTCTAAAAACAACTTCAGCTGTGAGTAACTTAGCCCATTTAAACAATGTTCCTGCTGGGACTCTTCAGTGTCCCTTGGACTCAGAGTATTAGTACTGTAGCATAAACCAAATACAGCCTAGAAAGGGTGCAGCTCTCTCCCCTGCAGGGGTCTGAACAGGGTGTGCATGGGTGCCTGCACGGAGGTGGGATGTGAAGCCGAGAAACAGAATGAATGTGCATGCAAGCATTTTATTCATGTTTGGAGAACGAACTCTGTATTTATTTTGTGCCATCTGTTTTTTATTACACTGAGTAAAATAAGTTTAAGACGAACCCTAACACAAGTGTAGTATTGGAAAGTGGCACTAAGAATAAAATCATGATCTATTTTTTTAATAGCTGTGAAGATACTAATTCAGGTTAAAGTCGTCTTTCAACTTTCTCTTTTAATTGATTATAGGCCCTATGAGTCAGCTGTTCCTCCCCCCCCCCCCCCCCCTTTCCTGACCAAATGAAGTTTTCTATTTATTTGCCTATTCCCGCACAGGAGGGGTGCGCATACGTGCTCTCTTCCTCCTTCTTCCTCATCCCTCCAGTGGCAGGTTTCATTGGGTTATCGGCTATAATGTCTCTTGCCCAAACGGGCCCTGAATGTACCCAAATAAACACGTGGATACTTCGCCGCAGTCCACCGCGGCGCATGTTTGTCAACTTGCAAGGACTGTTGGCAATTGTCCCCACTCCCCTTCCCCTCCCACAGTGGAGGGGGCTGTCCTCCCGGCCTCGACTGCTGGGCTTGCCTCGGTTGATACCTCGCCAGAGTGGCAGGGCTGCGGCTACTCGGCAGTTTTTGATTTGATTTTAAAAAAACAGCCAACCTCCTCGCTCCATCATGTGGGGGCACAGATTCCAGTTGTGGAGCCCGGTTGCCTAGCTACTCTGGCGCGCATCTTTGAGCGCTCCCCGTGTAGTGCGGTTGGCAAGGCTGGGCTGAGCCCTTGTCTCACCCACTTTGAACCATGCATCTGGTTGTCGCCGACTTCAGTGGCTGGGGGGGGGGCCTGGCAAGAACAGGCCATTTACATCAGCCGGAAAATCCCATTGTGCTTGCGGACAGTTGGGCATTGGTGGTTTTCTACCGCTGCTTTCAACGACCGTGGCTGCAATACGAACGCACCTTCCTCGTGAGCAGCTGCGAACTGGTGGTGGGAATAGGAGCGTTCTTGGAGGGGGGCAAGGCAGGAAGCTGTTACCGGCATAATTCTTGCAGGACAACTCGCATGTGGCGACGTGCCTTGCTGTGTGGGGAGCTCTTGCTCTTTCGGGTAATCGCATTTGCAAGGACTTGCTCCGGTGGCTGGTGACTTGCTCTGGTGGCTGGTGTGATGCTTTAGGGTGTGTTGGTTTTCAGTGCCGAGACTGTTCACGGGAGCAGGGCTAGGAGAGGAGAGAGCAAGCTGCTGGAGGGGTTTTTGTAGGTGCACAAGGCAAGAGCCACTTGCTAGTTGTACGATTTGCTCGCCATGTGTGGGAGTAGCCCCAGCAGGGAATGGGGGGGGGGGGGGGGGGTAGCTAGGAACCCAAAGGACACCGACCCTTGTGAAAAAATGAACTCAGTTGAGACCCATGAATCTGGACTGATGCAAAGGGCTGGAAGCTCTCTGGCTCCTCTGCTGACACACTACAGCACAGAGCTTCAGAAATGTGCCCAGTTCATGTGGCCCCCCTCGGGGAAAGCTGGCTTCTTTGTATCCCCTTCACGTCTCCCCCTGCCCTCCGTAGTAGAACTTGGCCGTGCCACTAGCGGAAGTGAGGCGGTGCAGGCGTGCGGCGCAGTGAGCGCGACTGGGGGGTGGGGTTGCTGGCGTGAAGTGGCAGGCCCATCCAAGGAACATACGTGGGCGTTGGACCTTGGGGGGGGGGGGTCTTAGGTTGTATTTCCCATGGGCTGTCTATCGGCAAGCGCCACTCGTGTCCATCGTTCTAAAGCCATTCTGTAACCTCGCCCTGGCCCTTTCCTCCAGCCTTGCTAATGAGTTCAGTCGCTTCTTTAAAAAAAAAAAAAAAGTTCAATTTTTTTTTTCTGTGGGATGAAAATTGTGTGCAGCAAACACGTGGCCATTCAGCAACTGTCACGCTTGCCGTCTTTTTTCCTTAACTCTCTGCTTTCCATACGGTCTTTCCTCAGGTGCTAAATAAGGGTTCCAAAAAAACCGGATACTGCTTTAGAAGTTTCTGCTTTATTCCTAAAATACATGTGTTTTGTTTAGGTGTTATAAAGATTCAGTATTGTAACAATGGTTTGGGTTTTACGATGTAAATAAGAATATGCCTCTGTAGTTCGGTTTTATCCCTTTTGGGTCTGTTAGTCTAATTTCCATGTATCCTTTTGAGAAGGACTTTCTTGTGACCTTGAAGACATTTCATTAAGTGTTTGCTGCGTTTAAGAATGAATCTACAATTGTTCACGTCTTGGATTAATGCTACTGCTGCTATCAGTAACTCCGAAAATCAAGAATGTGATGCACTTTTTACATGACCATATAGTTCTTCTAAGGATGGTTTGACCCCTCCTGTAACACAGCCACTAATTCTGAGGGTTACGTAGAAACGGAACTATCAGAAATAACGGCTTGGGAGATGTGGAATTAATTTTGGTGCTGACCCATCTATGAGAATTACTATGCAATGCAAGCAAAACTGTTAACTTCAAAGAACACTGTGTATCACCATCCCTCAGCTGGCTCTTGGAAATGCCTGAGATGTGTAACTTTCTCTTCCTTTTTTGGCCGGAACAGGGAATACAACTCAAAGTAACCTTAGGCTGGAAGAATCTAGCTGAAGCGTGTTCTGTCTAAGTTGTGTATTCTGTTTTTTAGCCATGCAGGTATTTGGAAGGAAAATGGTGATCTCTGCAAAACATTCCCCCGCCCCCTTTTTTGTTTTGTTTTTTAAATGTTGAAACTCCGTGTGAAATTTAGTGAGGATTAGTCAGCAGGCTTAGAAATCATCTGCTCTCCCCGGCCAATTGGGACTGCATAGTCCCAAAGTTGGGAAAAACTTTTATTTTTGCCTGGTGTCTTCTCAGGCTGCTCCCAGGCTGAGGGGGGGCACGCAGCTGGCCCCTGATGTTAGCTTTCTCTCCCGTGTTCCACTAGTGCCGGGAACCCTTGAGACTGGCCTCCGCTTTGTTTAGCAACAGAACCAAAATGTGAATGATTGAAAATAAATGAGCGCCGCTGAGTGGCAAGAAGGAGCCTGGCTCTGGTATAATGGCTCCGGCTCATTTGGCAAAAAAGTCCCGGAGAACCGCTGTGGATCTCTGCCACGACTCGTGAGCCAACCTTCCTGTGCTACCAAGCAGGAACCCGGAGGCTTTACACGCCCGCCCGCCCGGAGGAACAAAAGGGAATTGACTTGACCTTTCTGTTTGTAGAAACTTTTTTTTTTTTTAATTTAAAGGGGGTGGAAATATTTTTGTGGGGCAAGGGAAGATTTGAAGGGATCTGAACTTGTTCTGCTTCTGACGCTTCAGTCAAACTGTTTCGGTATTGTACATGACTGGTAGAGCAGAGTTCTGTCTTCTTCCTCAGCTTGTCAGCACTGGGCATTTTTTGCTGACACGTGTGTTTTGCTTTTATCTATCTATGACGTGCCTTGCATGCGTGTTTCGTTTTAAAGAGAATTTCAAATGGTCCAACTCGTTAGTGAGTTGTCGGGAGCTTTGCATTGGTAATTCCGGACGTCTCGCCCCCTTGCATGGGGTCACGAACCTCCCTTCTGCCGTCGGGAATTGGCTAGTTCTCAGTAACTAGTCTTCAAAGCGAGGGCATAATCCTCAATTGACTCTGACTAGTGGCTGTTTTACACGCTGGGGGGGAAAACTCCAATCCTATGATACAGCACCTGTCCTATCATACCTGACCCATACCGGCGTGTTAAAGGACACCTGGTTTGCTGGACACCCCCTATTAGCAAAGGAGGGTGCTGTGATGCTTAGCACTGTGGAAGGTCTGGAATCAACTTCTCTCTGGAATTCAGGTTTTCTGCAGAGGCTGAAAATTGCATTTACTGGGCTGGATTTTTCTCCCTCCCCCGCCCTCCCCCCTTAACTTTTGTAAAGGAAAAAAGAAAATGCACCTTGCTTTAAATAAAGAGAAATGCTTGTTTGCAACCATGGACTCCGAATATTAAACTCTGCGATTCTTGTTTTCTCCGTTTCTGCATCTCTAGATTCCGTCTCCCTAAAGTGATTTTTTTTCTGTTTTTAAGCCTCTCTGTATTTCTGCCACTGTAAATGTGAAAGCTTGCTTGCATTACTTTTTTAGAAATGCATTTTGCACACTCGGGTTTCGCTGAAGCTCCGTGAAAAGGTTAGTCCTAAGCAGATGAATAAAGCTATGCACATGTTTTTGAAAGTTTAATTTGTGTCTCATTACCAGAAGTGACTTATCTGCTCTTGTTTGCATCCCTGTGCTGTCAATGCATCCTTAGCTTTATACCATCTGGGGGGGGGGGGACGCGAGAGAGCAGTTTGTGCTAGCAGTCAACAAGCAGAAAACTTCTGGGAGTAGCCAGAGGGTTGTTTTGGGAAAAGGCCTAATTCAGCGAGCCAGCGGGAGGGAGAAGGGTGGTGTGTTCTTACGGGATGTCCCCCGTGAGCTCCCTCCGTGGTACCGATGTGACTGTGTTCTCTCCAGCCCAGCGGAGCCATGCCACGGAGGGAGGGGGAAGGTTGATCGATTTTACGTTTGCTGTTCTTTAGTCCCTGCTGAGGGCGATGTTCTCTTGGAACTAACACCTAACCCGTTTGCTTAGACATTTTTTAGCTGTGTGGGGTGGGCCGATTGTAAGCTGTTTAGAGGAAAAGCACCTTTAAAAAACCCCATTTTTGTCTGCCTCTAGTGCACGGCGCGGGGTTCAGGCATGGCTGTTGGGCTGCAGAGTGGGAAACTGCTGGCAACAATCTCTTGGATATCCTGGGGGTCAAGGTTTTGCCTTGTGACTTTCTTTTTGTTCGTGTAGCTGGATGGGTCTGAACACCTGGCCCAGCCCTGGTGTGTAGGACAGGCTGGGTTTCGCATTGGAGGAGGTATCCGCTGCGGCTTTCTTCCCGGTGGTCGCTCCGCTGTGGCAGAAACGCAAACCCATTCCCTTCCGAACAGGGCTGCTTTTCTGTCTCCGGTCACAGATGTACTGACTGTCTCCAGGGGCTTGGAGGCGCTCAGCAGGTTTACTTAGGGGGAACATAGAAACAATCCCCCCTGATTTTCAGTATTAATGGCAGGTTGAAATTCAGCTGCGTACTACAGGCCCCCAAAGTTGGGCTCCTATTTGTGGCCTCTCCCAGCAGAATTGAGGGAGCAGAGCAGCTGGTACCTTGCATGGATCCCAGCCTGCCCTCCTAGCTCTGTCAATTGTTCTCATTTCTGTTATCTATTTTAAAATCACAGCCAAGTCTGAGTCTGACCTGCTCAGACACTGAGTCACCTCCTCAAGTCAGAGGGATGGCCCCTCTTGCGGGTGGGTACTTTCCCCAACCAGCGTTCAAGGTGGTAGTTTTATTGTGCTTGCCCACTAAGTTCGGATAGGCCAAGCTATCGTGTACCCAGTTAAACCTGTAGCTCTTTTCCAGCTTGGGAGGGGGTGGCTAGAGCATTTAGTGTACTACGTAAATACCTGCTGTAGCTGTTTCTAGTGCAGGCTGCTGAAGCCGCGTATGTTACCGAGTGTTGTCACAGAGTGGAAGGGTAGACAATGTCTATGAGCTGTAATGGCGTCAGATCTCTTTCCTGAAGAGGTCTCCTTCGTACTTTAAATGTTGAAAAAGTTACCTTAATTTCAGTTACTCCATGTTTCACCAACAGGTCTTCAAAAGTGACCCAAACTTACTACTTTATCAGGAGAGGAAAAAAAAAAACAAACCAGAAAATTATGTAGATGAAATGCGTTGACGGAAAATAAGTGATGTAAATTGTTAAATAAAAATTTTAAAATTTGTAGGTGTCTCTGTTTCTTTCCCATGCTCTCTCCTCAGTGTTTCTTTAACAAGGGTGGGGCTGATGATCTGAGGTTCACTCCTGTGTGTTATCAGGCAGGCCTGAAATGCAGTGCTGCCCAGGGGTGCCTGAGAGCGCCCTGGCCGTGCAGCTGAGCGGGTCTGCGGCGGTCATGTGGCTTCTCCCCAAGTAATATGGGCTCATAGATTCCAAGACCAGAAGGGCCTACTGTGATCACCTAAGCTACCCTCGTGTTTCACACCCCAGAGAACTTCTCCTCTGTAATTCCTAAGGCAGATCTTAGAAAACCATCCAATCTTGGCCTTAAAAAAGGTCCATGAGGGACACTCGATTGGGGGGTAAATTTGTCCCAATGGTTAACTCTTCTTAAAAATGTGCCTCTTTCTCATGTCAATGTCCAGCTGTTAGATCCAGCTGCCCCACGTCATCCCTTAACATGGTTAATCTCCACTGGAGCTCTCAGGGCGAGCCTCGAAGGCATGTTGTCTGAGGCTTGGATCTCCCTTGTGGCTCTTCTCAGCCTCCTCCCATTTCTCGCCACCGCAAAGGCGGCGCAAGAACCGGGCAAGGCTCCGGGAGCGGCTGCATCTGTGCTGGAGGCAAAGTAACCTCTGCTCCTAGTTGCATCTTCCCCATATAGCAACCCCTGAGGGCACATGCTGGGGCTGGCAACATTATCCAGCATGGCCCAAAGCTCCCTCAGCACCCCTGCTTCCCCCCGCAGAGCCCCCAGCCTGGAGCGGGGCTGCCTTCTCCGGGCCTAGGCGTTCCGTTTAGCGGCATTAAACCCCCAGGCTGTGCTTGTGCCCGGGTTACCGAGCGAGCTGGCTGGTTCAATAGCAGGGACCTCCCCCCTCAGCGCATCCCACTCCTGTAACTTCTGGGTCCTCTGCACGGTTTCTGGGGATGAGTTTTTCCTTCCAGGCCATTGATTAAAATGCAGAACCGCGCAGGGCTAAGGGCCCCGGGACCGTGCCCACTGGCTCTGGGCCCCTAGCCCTGGCCCCAGCACCACCCTGGGTCGGACTGCCCAAGGGCGAACCCGTGCAGCTCTGGCGACAGGCTGGGGGGGCAGTGGGCTCGGGCCAGGCCATGTGCACCCAGGGAAGGAGGGTGCAGCACCCGGGGTCTCACGAGCGCGGAGGGAGCGGGAGAAGAATGCGAACGCTGTGGCCCAGGACCCGGGACCCGCTGGGAAGGGGGGAACATCCCAGCTGCAGCTCAATGGCCACGAGGCCCCCTCTGCTCCTTGGGGGTTGAACACAGAAGGTTTCTGCTGACAGTAAAAACCAGGGCTGGGGACGGACTTCGCCGGACCCTGGACAATATGGGGCGGGGCTTGGCTCTGGACCCCCCTGGGAGGGGAGGGGCCTCAGATGGAAGGGGCGGGGCCAGGGGCTCCGGCAGTGATTTAAGGGGCTCAGGACCCTTTTAAATTGCTGGGTCCTTGGGCAGCGCCCCTCTTCGCCCTGCCCCCCGTGGTCTCCTGTTTTCACGGCAGCCCTCCTGCTCCGCGTTGGGTGTGCGAGGCGCCGGGGCTGCCAAGGGCCTGCCTGTCTCACGGCTGCAGCAGCGTGAAGCCGGCCTGCCTGCGCCCGCGCTCTCCACCCGCCCCTCCTGAGCCGCCCGGGACGGGCCTGCGTGAAGGAGCTTGGCTAACGGTGATGGGCGCGTGGGACCGTGCCCCTGCGACGTCTCCGCGCGGGAGGGACAGAGTCCGAACCGTCCCGCGAGGGGCCCTCCCCACAGACCTCACGGGAGCCGTGTGTGTCGGGGCCGTTTATTGGCAACTGCAGCAGGGGGACCAGGAGCAGCCCCCGTCCAAGGGAGGAACCCGTCTGCGTTAGGAGGGGCGCTGCTGGCCCAGCGCCGTGGGCGGGAAGGAGAGCTGCAGCCACGGACGCCTACTGCTGGACGCGCCGGATGGACTGGACCTGGAAGGTCTGGGCGTGGGTGCCCCATTCCCTGCAGTGCTTGTAATCTCCCCCGTGGTGGTCGCTCTCCAAAAGGTACTGGTAGCCACGGTAACCGGGATACTGGTAGCACACCCAGCTGGAACAAAGGGAAAAGTGGGACGTGGTTGGACAGGGAAGGGGGCCAGCCCATCCCCTACGGCCCCAGTGCTGTCCTGGGCGGGCCTGGGGAACCGCCCACAATCGTCTCTCGCCCCCGCTCCTAGAGTGCGGGGAGATGAGGCAGCCCCTGCTCTGCAGGAGCCGGTGGGGGAGCCAGGCGCAAACTGCAGCTGGGATCCTACCCCCGGGGCAGATGAAAATCTGAGCCTGTTCCCGCCTGCTGAGGGCCTGATGTGCCTGAGTAGTGCGAAGGGCCAGGTAGGCCTGCGTTGTACCCCGTGTCCGCGGTTCCCTCTAATTGTTCCACTCATGCGGAATAAATGGTCTGTGCACCTAGGCACGTGCCGATGTGCACCACCCGTAGAAACACTAGCAGAGTGCCCACAGCCAGCTGCCTGTCACCTGGGCGGCCGCTCAAGGTTACCCTGAACCAGGCCCGTGTCCGTAGGGATCCCGCTCCAGTTCCAAATCGGAGCAGCAGGGAGGGCCTGGGCCCTGCCGCCAGGAAGAGAGGAGCACCCGTGCGTAAAATGGGAGCAAGCCGCTCCGGCAGCTGGGCGGCCCCGGCGGGCAGGGCTCGGCTCCGGCCTGGCCCAGGCGGCGCTTCTGCCGGGACTGGGAATCTTCGCCCTGCCCCCCGCGTGCAGCCGTCCCCACTTACGCGCCGCACTGCACCTTCATGGAGCCCACTTCGTTGTTGGCCCAGCCCATGGCCTGCAGGGAGGGGTAGTCGTCCGCGATTTCCCACTGGCGTCCCAGGAAGTTCTCCCTCTCGAAGACCGTCATCTTCGACTCCTTGTGGTTCTGGGCCACAGCGACAGGGAGGCATGAGGAGGGAAGTGCAGATGGGGGGGGACGGGGCCTGGGGTGGGCTCCTTGCTCCCGGGACGCGCCCTGTGGTCTGACCTCGCCTGCCCCCCGGTCCCCTGTCTCTGTGGGAGCCTCCCGGCGGCCGGAGCCGGTGCAGTGAAGCGCCCTCCGCGAAACCCCTCGGCTCCATGCTTCCCAAAGCAGCCGGGGGGACGAGCTGGGGAAGCGTTCAATGGAGCCTCCTGGTTTTACCCAAAGCTTACAGGCTGCGCTGCATGCGCCCCACATGCGGGGCCAGGGGGCCTCACCGGGTTCTGCCCTGGCGGGAGGGGCTGCCAGGGCTTGGGGGGCAACAGGGGTGAAGCAAAGAGGCTGGAACGCAGCTCAGGGCAGGGAGCCATCCGCTGCACCCCACAACGGGCAGGGGCTCCGCGTGGGTCACAAGCTGCGCGCTCTGTGTCCCCTGCCCGCCACGCGCAGCACACGCCGGGGGAGGCTTGTAGGCAAGATGCCAAAAAAGTTGGGCGTGGTCACCTCTGCGGCCCCTTTCGGCCCTGCCACTTCACCCCGGGGCACCTGGCCAGTTTGAACTGGAGCGACTGCAGCGGCTCCCCGCTCGCCCACTGTCCTTCCAACCTCTCACCTCCCTGCACTGTCGCACCAGGCTCCTGGCCCCATCCCTGGCAGGGAACACAGGGGCCTGGCCCCATCCGTGGCAGGGAAGCGCTGGGGGCTGGGCCCCTCCCCGGCAGGGGG